TTAAAAAAATAAATAAATAAATAAAATAAATAAATAAATAAATAAAATAAATAAATAAATATAATAAATATAATAAATAAATAAATAAATAAAATAAATAAAAAAAAATAAAAAAAAATAGGCGGGCGTGGTCTAGTGGCTATGACGTTCGCCTCACACGCGAAAGATCCCGGGTTCGATCCCCGGCGCCCGTATATTTATTTATTTATTTTATTTATTTATTTATTTATTTATTTATTTAGTCTATTTATTTATTTTATTTTATTTTTAATTAATTATATAAATAAAAAAGAAAAAAATACCTTTTTATTCATGTATCTTATGCTGCATAAGCTACTGATCTTTCCTGCTGCTGCTGCTGCTGCTGCAGCAGCAGCAGCAGCAACACTTCGAGTTTGCTGCAGCCCCATAATCTTCTGTTAATTTGCATGCATTTTGTTGTTTTTTCCTCTTTTTTTGTTTGTTGTTATTATTTGTATTTATTTAAGGAGGGATTTTTATTTAGTTTTTTTTCCTCCTTTTCTTTCCTCGCTTTCTCTGCTGCTGCTGCAGCTGCTGCATTATTGCTGCAGTGCTGCTGCAGTCCCCTCTCCCCTCTGTCTTATATATAATTATATTACGCTATTTTCTTTAGAGAAATTTCTTGATTAATAATATTTTTGTTTATTTATTTTTTCTTCTTTTTATTTCTTATTAAAGAAGTGGTCTTAGAAGGAAGACCACTAATACTCTGAGCAGCAGCAGCAGCAATAGCAGCAGCAGCAGCAGCAACAGCAACAGCAGCAACAGCAACAGCAGCAACAGCAACAGCAGCAACAGCGTGAACAGGAGTAGCCGCGGCAAAGTCAGCGGCACGAAATTGAAGCAGCTGCTGCTGCTGCAGCGGCAGCAGCTGCAGCAGTAACAACAACAGCAGCAGCAGGAACGGCAGCAGCAATAGCAGCAGCAGCAGCAGCAGCAGCAGCAGCAAAGATGAATATATTTAAAGGAAAGAATAAGAAGGGTTTATCCCATAAACATATTGGTGGTGTTAAACAGAGACACCCAGATGGAAGAAACGGAAGGAGACAGCAACAAAGAAAACTACAAGAACAGCAACATCAGCAGCAGCAGCAGCAGCAGCAGCAGCAGCAGAAAGATGAACAGCATCAGCATCATCAGCAGCAGCAAGAGGTGGATGACCCCCGAGTAAATGCAAAAAAAAAAAACCCCACCAACAATAAGGAGGAAGATATGACTATAACCGATCAAAATGATGAGCATATAAAGGTTAAGAATAATAATAATAAAAATAATAATAATAAGGAAGAGCAGGAGCAGCAAGAAGAAAAAAAAGAAAAAAACCTATTAAATTGTATATTTATAAGAAATATTTCTTATAATACAAAAATTGAAGAAATTTCTCAAAAATTTCAAATTTTTGGAAAAATCAAAAAAATCATTTTTTGTAAAAATTCATTTAATTCATTTAATGGAAATGCATTTCTTTATTTCTATCAATCTGTATGTATTCCTTTTTATGTTGCTCCTTTTGTTGCTGTTGTTCCTTTTGTTGCTGATGATGGGGAGGAAGAGGAACAGGAAAAAGAGGGCTGTATTTTGATGGGTTATATGCTGGGGGTATTTGATGGGTTTATGGTTGTACTGCTGTTGCTGCTGCTGTTGCTGCTGTTGCTGCTGCTGCTGCTGCTGCTTGTTGTTATTTATTTATTTATTTATTTATTTATGTGTCCCCTTTTTTGTCTCCTTTTGTTTATAGAGTGCAGCACAACGTGCTGTTGCTGCATCTGCTGCATTTGAGCAGCAAAAGGAGACACTTTCTATTCGTCAGCAGAAAAGAGTCTCTAAATTATTAGCAGCACAGCAGCAGCAGCAGCATTTGTTGCAGTTACAGGAGGAGGAGCACCAGCAGCAAGAACAGCAGCAGCAGCAGCAGCAGTCTGCTGCTGCACTAGGGGCGTCTCTTGTTATAGGAGGGAGACAACTGCAGGTACTCCCTGCTATTACTAAGGATAAGGCTAAACATCTTACACAGGATAAACAACAGCTCAGGTATACTCCTGCTGCTGCTGCTGCTGCTGTTGCTGCTGCTGCTGCTGTTGCTGTTGCTGCTGCTGTTTGTTGTTGCTGTTTTTGTCTTGTTGTTCCTCAGTATATTCCTTGTACCTAGTACATCTAACATCTGCTGCTGCTATTACATTTGCTGCTGCACTTGTTGCATTTGTTGCTGCTGCTGCTGCATTTGCTACATTTGCTGCATTTGCTGCTGCTGCTGCTGCTGTATGTCTATTCAGAGTAGCTGAGGGTCTAAAAAGACGGGGACATCCTCTTGCTTATTGGGGTCTCCCTTTGCAGCCATTTAAGGGTTTATCTGCAGCAGAAGAACAGCTTGCTGCTGCTGCATATAGGGAGACAAAAGAAAAATTAAAAAACCCTAATATCTTTGTTAATAAAAAACGTATGCAATAAGGGTTTAGGGTTTAGGGTCTAGGGTTTAGGGTTTAGGGTTTAGGGTTTTTTAGGGTTTAGGGTAACAAAATGAAGACTTAAAGGGCCTGTTATCTAGGGTTTAGGGTTTACCGTTTACATTCTAGGGTTTATCTTGGCAGAATCAAGGGTCTTTAGGGTTTAGGGTTTTGAGGGTTTAGGGTTTAGGGTTTAGGGTTTAGGGTTTGTGTGTATAGGTCTTTGTTTACGTAATTTACCTCGATGGGTAGATGCAAACTTTATAAGAGAAAAAATTTCTTCTCTTTTATCTAATATATTAAGGGAGCATGCAGAGTCTCCTGCTGCTGCTGCTGCTGCTGCTCTTGCTGCAGCAGCAGCAGAGGAGGTAGAGGTAGACCCCGAAAAGCAGCAGCAGCAACAGCAGCAGCAGCAAGAACAGCAGCAGCAGCAGCAGCAGAAGGGGAACAAGGGG